GTTTTTTTTTTTTTTTTTGTGTTTGGGGGGGGGGGGGGGGGGGTGTTTTTCTCTGTGTGTGTGTGTGTGAGAGAGAGAGAGAGACAGAGGAAGAGAGAGAAGCGTACTTTGAGGCGGGAGGGGACTGTGAGGCGAGAAGGAGGAGAAGGGCCAATGGCTTTGAGAGTGATTTGTACCATCTTCTCGTCTTTCAAATTGCTTCGATCATTCTCGATCTCACCCATTAGTGTACGCACATGAACGGTGGCGTACCGACGGCGAATCAAACTCGGCGTCGGCGGTGGTCGGATTTGTTCAGAACTCTCAACGGTACCGTCTGTAAGTAGTGTCTGTATTTATAGGTTTTGCGTTTCGATTAAAACCCAATTGGAGGAAGAGGAATTTGGGCATGGGCCTGTGGTGTTACGAATAATTGGGCCAGGCCGTAAATTAGACCATTGGTCCATGAAATTTATCATTAATTGTACATCGATTCTTAATGTTTTAATTTTGTCAATGTGACCTTCAAAGTTTACACATTAATTAAATTCAGTCCCATAATTAACAATAATAATAAAAAAAAGTGCACAACGAGAAATGAAGGTGAAATTCTTCCCAAGTCCCTTTAGGTTGGGCATATGCTTTTTATTACGTTATTTATTTAGATGATTGTTGGGGCATGGAATTTCATTGGACCAATCTGTTGGGACCCTTTAGGTAGATATGGTTGGGCCAGTCCATTGGGCAGTTGCATCCTAAGAGTAAAGGCCCATGGCCCTAATGATCATGACGACATTACTTCTGGTTGGGTGCTCCTCTTCCGCAGCGGCTATTTTAGGAGTAAATAACGATTATATTATGGTGTAATTATTCAATAAAAAATCAATAAAATAGATAAAATAGAACTCATTTCTTATCATGGAGGTGATTCGGTATTACATGACTATTTGATTATGAATTTTTGTAGAGCTCACTTGCTGATTTGTTTATGTATTAATAGACAATTATACCACGTGACATTGCTAACGTGACGAAATAGTTACGCCCAATAGCCCCTCCGGCCAAGTTGATATTCTACTGATGTAAAAAGTTAAGACCAATTGTACATGTAGGGAATATAGTTTACAAAAAGATAAATAGAATAATCACATAAGCAGTATTATTTGTATTTAATTTATTGACTTAATTTATCATAATAATTAAATTGGTTACGGATCCAACATATATCGGGGTCTACTATCAGTATAATAATTACAAATAATTACATTAATAAATTAAATCAATAAATTATATGCAAATAATATTTTTCGTAAATTATTGTACAATGAGAGAGGGAGAACCACTGGGTCTTTGAATTTAATGCCTAGGATGATGCTTTCATTTTGCACCATTCATCTTAGATAATATACTGGTGAAATATACAGATTGTATCACCCTTTATGAGGGCATTTGCCTTTTGGTTTTTGAGCCAGCCACTTTGAGAAGCAAGTAAAGAAGATAATATGGCACTGAGGATGTGGGCTTCTTCAACAGCCAATGCACTCAGAGTCTCTACTGCTACCAGACCCCAACTCTCTCCTGCTTTCTCTCTCTCTAGATGCTTCTCTAGTGGTAATTTTTTCCTTTGAACTTTGGTGGATACTTTATCCTGCTCTCTGTGCTTACAGTTCAGGCTAGACTTAAAACAAACTTGTTTTGAAAATCAAAAGAAGACAGTGGACTAAACATTTTTCTTTCTTCACCAAAATGAATAGTAATTTTGTGGATTTGACTCACCAAAACAGTCTTTTCTACATGCGACACTATTCATACCCATAGTGACAAGAGTCTTTTGCTCTCAATTGCCTTTTGTACTAGTACTTTTGTTGCCAACCATGAATGATGAAGTGAATTTCTGGAATTATTTGGATTTGCAGTATTGGATGGGTTGAAGTATGCATCTACACATGAATGGGTGAAGCATGAAGGTCCAGTGGCTACCATTGGCATCACTGATCATGCTCAGGTTATTTCTCTCTCTCTCTCAATAAATTTTTAGCATCCTATAAGGTGCTTGTAGAAATGCCATCATGGCTGTTGGTCTGTTGATTAATAGTCAAACAAATGACTATTACTTCATTGGTAAATAGAGCCACTAACTCAGCTACCATTTTTAACTGTAAATCTTTTTGTGAGAGCCTATTGATACATTATTCATCTATAGAGTTGTAGTTAACAACAGCAGACTATACATTTCTTTCTGTATCATTATTCGGTTATCGTTGATTATGATTTGGAGTTAAGAAAATAAAAATGTCAAAATNCGGATCCAACATATATCGGGGTCTACTATCAGTATAATAATTACAAATAATTACATTAATAAATTAAATCAATAAATTATATGCAAATAATATTTTTCGTAAATTATTGTACAATGAGAGAGGGAGAACCACTGGGTCTTTGAATTTAATGCCTAGGATGATGCTTTCATTTTGCACCATTCATCTTAGATAATATACTGGTGAAATATACAGATTGTATCACCCTTTATGAGGGCATTTGCCTTTTGGTTTTTGAGCCAGCCACTTTGAGAAGCAAGTAAAGAAGATAATATGGCACTGAGGATGTGGGCTTCTTCAACAGCCAATGCACTCAGAGTCTCTACTGCTACCAGACCCCAACTCTCTCCTGCTTTCTCTCTCTCTAGATGCTTCTCTAGTGGTAATTTTTTCCTTTGAACTTTGGTGGATACTTTATCCTGCTCTCTGTGCTTACAGTTCAGGCTAGACTTAAAACAAACTTGTTTTGAAAATCAAAAGAAGACAGTGGACTAAACATTTTTCTTTCTTCACCAAAATGAATAGTAATTTTGTGGATTTGACTCACCAAAACAGTCTTTTCTACATGCGACACTATTCATACCCATAGTGACAAGAGTCTTTTGCTCTCAATTGCCTTTTGTACTAGTACTTTTGTTGCCAACCATGAATGATGAAGTGAATTTCTGGAATTATTTGGATTTGCAGTATTGGATGGGTTGAAGTATGCATCTACACATGAATGGGTGAAGCATGAAGGTCCAGTGGCTACCATTGGCATCACTGATCATGCTCAGGTTATTTCTCTCTCTCTCTCAATAAATTTTTAGCATCCTATAAGGTGCTTGTAGAAATGCCATCATGGCTGTTGGTCTGTTGATTAATAGTCAAACAAATGACTATTACTTCATTGGTAAATAGAGCCACTAACTCAGCTACCATTTTTAACTGTAAATCTTTTTGTGAGAGCCTATTGATACATTATTCATCTATAGAGTTGTAGTTAACAACAGCAGACTATACATTTCTTTCTGTATCATTATTCGGTTATCGTTGATTATGATTTGGAGTTAAGAAAATAAAAATGTCAAAATGTCAGAATTGAAAAATTAGAACATTGGTGCCTGCATCATTTATATATATATATATATTGATTCAACGGTTAGGGGTGTCCGGACTAACTTACGCGCATCTCAACTAATCTCCTCTCTAGTCCGGTCCGGTCAAAAGTAGGGCATCCATACCGGGATTAGGATATTCACAAGGGATAAAATCCCTTGTGGCCTAATTCTAAGGGATTGACAAGATTCAAACTTAAGACATCTAAGTTTACATCTCGTCCTTTTTAGCACTTGAGCTACCCTTGATTTATGTTTGTATTGCTTGTATGTTGTTTCCATAGTGTGCTCATTTAGGGCCTGAAGAGAACAAGTGACAGAAAACATAGGAGAGTAAGCATGATCAAAATAGATGACAAGTACACAAGACCTACTGTGTAACTTGTGTTTAGGAAGATGAGTAAGCATGATCGTACTCCCATTCTAAACAAATACCATGAACTGATCACCTAACAGAGATTAGGTAATAGTAAGCATGATTCTGTTATGGTTTGAAGCAGTTAGAATAAGTTGATTGGTATTGAATGACACAACAATCTTAGATAACTGGGCTCACTTTCTTTTGTTCTTTCTTATTGACATAATGTGAAATTTGAACCTTTTAAGTGGACTTTTCACAGGATCACCTTGGAGAAGTGGTGTTTGTAGAGTTGCCAGAATCTGGTGGTTCTGTTACTCGAGGCACCAGCTTTGGAGCAGTGGAAAGTGTAAAAGCCACTAGTGATGTTAATTCCCCAATCTCAGGAGAGATTGTTGAAGTTAACTCAAAGCTCACTGAATCCCCTGGTTTGGTAATTCTCATTACTTGCCTAGTTTTTCTATATATAAGCACATTTTCTGAAAAAGTCTAGTGCATCAAGTTCGATATTGTACCAAAAAAAATTTGAATTAAAGTTCCAACTCAAACAGGGTCGACATTACTCCTCCACGAGGTTGAGTAAAATCAATGTTGATCCTCATTGCCCGTATTAATGTTTATATGTTTGTCCCACATCGGTTAGACTAGAAAACTTTTTTACTCTCTTTTACTATAAATTAATTTACTCATGTATATGGTAAAATACATCGAAGCAATTCACATTTGTTATTCATTTTCTATCCTCTTCGCCTAAGCTCGTGAATCCTTCTGACCAAGGATAGTATGCTCTTTGATTGCCCTGTGAGGGATCCTCCACATCAGAATTCTTGAGACTCTTCTCCTTAGGGTTGTCCTCCGACAACCTCTTCCGGTCATTCTCCAGCGCCATCCTTACCATCCTCTGGCGCCGGAGGTTGGTGCCGCTCCCATTAAGTTTTAACTTGACAATGTTTGAAATGTTAGTTTTGGAACATACCAAAGTATCTTTCTTTTTTATGTGAAACATCATTTTGTGGGGATGTGTTTCTCTAACTTGGTCACTTTGTTGTTCAATAAAGATCAATTCAAGCCCATACGAAGGAGGATGGATGATCAAGGTGAAGCCCAGCAGTCCACCGGAGTTAGAATCTCTGATGGGTGCAAAAGAGTACACAAAATTCTGTGAAGAAGAGAATGCTTCCCATTAGAATTTGAATATGTTTTTGAATTCCCTTTGGACCAACTCCTTCTGAGCTCTTCAGGTTTTAAAATATCAATTATTACCAAGCTGCAAGGTTCAACCCCTTAAATTTGCTTCTGTATCTTCCTTCTCTCTCTCTCTCTCTCTCTCTCTTATACTCTTGTAATCATCCTTTTACATTTACTGTTCAATTTTTGTACTGCATTTTGCTTTCTGTTTTCTGTTCTGGAATCTTCGTTTTGCTTTAAGGACGAAAAATCAAAGATCAAAATTTTTTTCGGTGCATTGTTTTGGTTACTTAATAAACGAAAATGTTTTTACTTGTTGCGGAAATATAATGAAAAAAAATTAAGAATTATTTTTTTAAAATATTAGTTGAAATATATCAAAATTTTCAAACAATTGAACAAATGCATTGAAACATTATGAAACACTTTGAAACATTATGAAACACTTTAAAGTATTAAAATTTCGATTCCTTCATTTATTCGTTTCGGTCTTCTTAAAAGTTGAAACTTTTCGATTTTTTTCGAAACATAAAGAAAGAATTATATAGTGGCCTATAAACAGATTAGATGGTGGCTTATTATTTCTGGCCTTTTTTGGCTTTTTGGTAGTTCATTAGTGCAAGAGTTGCTCATCCCCAGGATACCTCTTTGGGTAGGAAAATGAAAGTACACTTAACTGCAATAACTCAAGAATTTGCTAGATTGCATTGGTCGTGGGAAGCCACAGATGAACAAAAAATGTCATCAAGCACATAATTAGATCATTGGCCCATGCCACCAAGAAGATAGTGGGAATAACACTTGCCCATCTATAGGGAAGTTCCATCCTGACGGGATTCGAGAACTTCTTTCCATGAACACAAATAAAGACATGAACTCAAAATCCAAGCACACTATTTTGATTTAATTTCACGAAGTTAAACCAGGACGTTATAAATAGTCTAATTCTCCAACCAACTGCATGACACTTTTCTGTAGTTGAAATTAAAATCACGATCTTTTGTACAGTATAGCACTTTATTTTTACTTCAGTTTAGCAAGATTCATGTTCAGTGCTTCCAAGCTAGCCAATCTCACGACTCTGACGAAAAACTCAGAAATTGATGATCCAACTCGGATTCAAGTTGTCACTGCACTGATTTTCAATTGTGCTATGGCAGCAGCAAAGGCTCTATCAGGTGCATCATTATCATATATCTTGATACACCCAGTGAATCTACGCCTGAGGATTATCCCACCATTGCCTGAAAATTCTGTCGGAAATTTTTCATGGTTCTATTCAATCATGGCTAGAGATGAGAGTGACAAGCAATTGGACAATCTGGTGGGTGCTTTGAAGAAAGGAATAGCACAAATGTTTGATAAGTATACGAAAAATCGGACAGCAAATGAATGTTACTCATTGATATGTGAGTCCATCAAAGAGGCAAGAAAGGCACTGAGCAATAGCAATGGTGTCCATGTCTATAAATGTAGTAGCATGTGCAGTTACCCATTCAATCAGATAAATTTTGGGTGGGGAAAAGCAATATGGGTGGGTGTTTCTGGTTGTCTGATCAAGGATACATTTCATTTGGTGGATGCTATGGAAGAGGGTGGTATAGAAGCTCTTGTGACTATGGAAGAAAAGAAATGGCTGTATTCGAACGTGATAAAAAGCTTCTTGCGTTTGCATCGTTGAATCCCCAAGCTTCTGTAATGGTCAAGAGCTCCTTGTAAGGCTTCGTCTAGCTCTTGTGAAGAATTCAACTGCACTTAACTTTTAAGTGTGAAAATCAAGTAGCCCGTGATTTAGCTTGTTATGTTCTTTCAATAGATAGTAGCGTTATTTTGGTTGGAGCAAGCACCAGACTTTAATGTTTCTCCTGTTTTCAGATGGTCCTCATTAATAAGAATTTCTATCGTTTCCATAAAAAAAAAAGTGTGAAAAAAATCAACGTCTTTGTATGAATTTTCTGAAGCTCTTTTAGTCTATTGATTGCCTCTTTTGTCATTTTACATCAAGGAGTGAGGACTATGGCTTTTACTTGCTCAACTTACACCATTCCTCAAACTTTGCTCAAAATGGTCAAGTAGAATTATTGTGCCTATGTAAATATTAGACTTTTTCATCAGGATTACTTGGCATATCATTAAGCCAGTAAATAAAATTAATTTTATAAGTCTTAATAACATTATCCTTTTTATTAATATGTAAACAATTGGTCAGCTTTGGAGTCACCGATTGCAGGCTCGTTGTCATACCCTAACCTGGAAGTAGCACATATTGTCTACTCCTATAAAGTGAACCCACACCTTTAACAAATCAACTCATTATAATACATACATATGAATAAGTGTTTAATAAGTTTATATGACAATCTCAAATAGACTCATTCAACAGTCACTAATATCTCTCTTAAAGCCATTTACATTGTACTGTGTCTTTAAATACGGGTTACCTCTAGTGTATATATATATACACTGTATCTTTTGAGTGAAGACCAAATACACACACATACACACACGCACGCGTGTGTTCAGCTCAGTGTCCCGATGACACTCTGATAATCACCCAATTACCCTTTAACCCCCTATTGTTTGCAATCCTTCTTGTACCCACCTCTTAATTTATAATCAATTAATAAATTACAACCAAAACTTTTTTTTTCTCATTTTATACATTTTTATCACAAGATTCAACCCCTAGGGCAGAATATTACCTAACTCCAACACTTTTTCATAACTATAATTTAACCTTTAAATTAATTATCATAAATTACACATTAGACTCTAACATTTAATAAATTTTATGCAATACATGTCCGGCTCTCACGCTCGTGATCTTCATAATCGATCAGCTGATAACAACACCATGCATGCAAGCATGACAACTTTGATTGTTTATGTGTATATATATTAGTTTATATGAATCTGAGGTCGATCTGAAAAACTATAATATGAGGTTTTGATTATTTGACAAATTTCAATGTCTCTGTTAAAAAATCCTGTTTGATACGTAAAAATAACTAATCAAAGCTGAATTTTAGCAATTTATTTGGAAATGTTGGAGTATAGATAGTCTAGGTTTATTAAGATTTCTTTTCTCTTTTTTACCCTTACTATGATTTTTATATTTTGCCTAAACTACAAGGATGTTTAAGTCACTCTGTATTATTTTTGGCTATATATACGGGACTCTACTTTGAGTTTGAGTATCCCTTTCACATATTTCAAGTTGGTATCAGAGCCAAAACCTTAGCCTCCATCTCTAAGCCTAACCCTAACCTTAACCCTAGCCTTCATCACCTTCCCAGCAGCCACCATTTCACTGCTCAAACAATCTGCAACAGCCCCCAGTCCCTCAGTTACCACCAACACCACTGTTGATCAGCAGCAAAGCCACATCTAGCAACCCAATGACAGCCTGCCCAACCTCCAGCGACAACTTGGCACGCCAACCAGCAACACACCCAGGCCACCAGACCTGCCACACCCCAACAGCGAAACATCCTAGTAGCCACCCCTCTCAACCCCAACGACTCCATACCAGCGAACCAAAACCAGCGAAATAGAAAAACGCTGAACCAAAACCAGCGAAACTCCACCGACAACCTGCTGCCCAGCCCCTAGCCGCAACACTCCAACAAAATCACACCGACATCCACAAACCCACTGCACCGACTGCCTCCATAAAGCACCGACTGCCTACACAGCAAAACCAGCAACCACAAACCAACTGACCAGCCTGTCTACACCGACTGCCTCCATCAAACCAACCCACAATCAAACCCAAAAACCAATACAGCTAAGCACCCGTGACAGCCAACAAACCCACAAACCAATATTATTAGCCGTCACAAACCAACAAACCAAGTAAGATTGGGTCACTGTTCATCAGCCCACTGCTGGGTTGCTTTTTTGTTGTAGCTTGGTCCTTCGCACACTTCGTCATAGTGCTGCCAGATTGCAGTATCTAGGACTTTTTTTTTAGGAGGGAGCGGATCCTCTTCTCCTTTTATCTGTTTTTGATGCAGTAGATCATTTATATTTATTGGATTTCTGGGCACCGTGACTTGATTATTTGGGAGCTTTTTGGACCTTCCTTATTTGTCGCTACTGTTCGACTGAAGGTATATTGTTCTCCCTTATTTTATTCCTCTATTTATCTTAGAGTTATTTTTCTGTCACGGGTGCCCTAGTATTGTTGTTGATATGGCTACTACTGAGGGACTTGAGAACCCTACTGTTGACACCTCTACCGTTGAGACATCTATGGGTACTTCCACTTTTATGTTTGACCAGTATACAGTGCCTACTAGCACAGTTGCATTACCAGCATTACCGGGCATGATCTCTCAAAAAGTTACGGCACAATTGTTGAATGGTCGTAACTTCGCTGAGTGGTCACGCTCATTCCAGCTTTTCTTAGGCCGTGTAGGGAAGCTTGGTTGGCTGACGGGATCTCACCCAAAGCCAGCTGATGCCGACCCTGGATATTCTGCATGGTTCTCTGAAAACTGTGCCATTCTTGGATGGTTATTTGGCTCAATGGAGCCCTCTGTTTGCAAGATCCACCAGTTTCATAGCTCTGTTCCGAAGCTATGGAGCGCATTATCAGAGATGTATTCTCAGTCAGGACGGGGAGTTCGTGTTTATGAGCTTTCTCAGGAGCTCTCATATGCTCGGCAGGGAGATATGACCGTTCAGGATTATTATGGCTATTTGACCCAGCGCTGGCTTGAGTATGAGTCTCTACGTCCTCTTGCTGCTATTCCGAAGATAGAGCCCGAGGGAGCAGCATTCTTGCATACTCGAGAGCAGGAGGATAGGATTCACAAGTTCCTTATGGGGCTTCGTGATGAGTTTGAGGGACCTCGTTCTCAGATCTTGTCGATGTTGACACTTCCTTCTCTTTATGAGGTGTATGAGATGATTGAGCAGCATGAGCGTCGAGTCCGTATTGCATCACTTCCAGTTGCAGCTTTGACTCCTTCGATTGACCAGATGGCCCTTTCAGCTGCTGTAGGGTCCCGTTCATGATCCTTAGTCAGGGATGGGCAACGCTCAGACCAGCGCCGTCAGGGCGCCCCAGATCAGCGCAGACGGGGGGATTCCCGTCAATGTGATTATTGTGGCCGACCAGGACATCTCAGGGCTACTTGCTGGAAGCTCCATCCAGAGCTTAAGCCACCTTCTCGCAGCCGTACTGTTGCTATTGCTGAGGTACCACCGCCCACTACCGCCACTCCTGCTACTGCTCCTCCTTGGCAAAGTGATATGGATGCTATCACTTCCCGATTAGATATACTTATGTCTGCTCTGACTTCTCAGAGTCTGACTACTGCTGCTGTCACCACTACAGGTATATCTCGTGCCTTTCACGCTTGTGCCAATTCATCTCCCCTTTGGATGTTGGACTCGGGTGCGAATGGTCACATGACAGGTGAGGCCCATCACTTCACCACTTTTGACGAGCCGTTACATACACAGGTTCAGTTAGCAGATGGAACACATGCCCCTATTGTTAGTAGGGGTACAGTCCGTCTCCCAGATGGCCTTACATTACATTCGGTTTTTCATGCGCCAAAGTTGGCCATGAATCTATTATCTGTACATCAGTTAGCCAGAGATTTTCACTGTGCGGTTGTATTCTTATCTGATTCGTGTTATTTGCAGGACCTGAGTACCAGGAGGATTATTATCAAGGGACATGAGAAAGATGGACTGTATTATCTTGGCAATCCATCTCCAGTTTCACCAATTCCTTCACCTGCACCTGCTTTGTCTTTTTCTGTTCCTAGCTTGCATGCTAGTATTTTACCTAGTAGTTGTCGTTATGATTTTTCGTCACAAACTGTTCAATTGTGGCATGACCGTTTTGGACATACAAATTTTAAATATTTATGTATGTTGTTTCCTGCTTTGAGTAATGCTTGTGTTGGTGGTAAACTTGATTGCGTTATCTGTTCCCTATCAAAACATGTTAGGGCCAATTATATTCCTCGCATGCACCAGTCACCCAAGCCATTTGACCTAATACACTCTGATATTTGGGGACCCTCTCCCGTTACTGCTCTGTCAGGTGCCAGATATTATGTGACATTTATAGATGATCATACTCGTTGTACTTGGGTCTACCTTTTGCATAGGAAGTCTGATGTGCTCCCTATAATCACTCAGTTTTTACAGATGATTAAGACACAATTCGATGTCATTGTTCGTGCTCTTCGTTCGGATAATGCCAAAGAATATGTGTCTGATGCTTTAGTGTCTCACCTTTCTTCTCAGGGTATCCTTCAGCAACTCACTTGTCCATATACTCCTGAGCAAAATGGTGTTGCTGAGAGGAAAAATAGGAGTTTGATAGGGATGGTACGTTGTCTGCTTAGAGGCATGAGGGTACCAAAATCTTATTGGCATTTTGCTGTTTTGACTTCTACCTTTCTGTGCAATCGTACGCCGAGTCGTGTTCTTCAGCATAAGGCTCCCTTACAGGTCTTATTTCCTGAGCGGACACTTTTTCCGGTCCCCCCTCGTGTTTTTGGATGCACATGTTTTGTTCAGGATCGGTCTCCTACTCGTCATAAACTTGATGATAAAGCGATTCGTTGTATCTTTGTGGGCTATTGTCATCAATCTAAGGGGTATCGATGTTATAATCCTATTAGGCGTCGTATGTATCACAGTCTAGATGTTACCTTTCTTGAGCATATTCCTTATTTTCCTTTCAGTCCTTTGTCTGCCCCTCCAGTTGATGATACTCCCTTTGATTTTCCATTACCACAAGAGTCAGAGTCATTGATCACTATCCCTACAGGGTCATCCGTT